TCAGTACTTCCTATTGTAGAGGTGGCCATTTTGTATCTATTAGAACACTAAACAAGAACTCTAGAAGAGTAATGGACGGGAGAGACCGAAGAGTCACAAGGCTTGGGTCTGATACCTGAAGGCTACTCACTGTAGCCTTGGGCAAATCACTTACCCTATCAGAGTCTGTTTCTTCACATGTTAATTGGAGACAACAATGTTAGTTGAGCCAGGAAATCACTTTGTAAACTTTAAAGTAGTATAGGAATCTGAATAATGTAATCTTGCATTTTAAAATATTTATGATGTATTTTTAAGTAGTCAGTCAATAAATATTAAGCGCCACTGTGTAACAGGCACTATGCTAAGCATTTAGGATGCAGAGAAAGAGAAAATACAGCCCCTGCTCTCAAGGTGCACAAGTCTATTGTAGGAGACAATATGCCAGCAACTACTTAAAAACAGTTGTTATTCAAGATAAATTAGAAATAATCAACAAAGTGAAGGCACTAGAATTAAGAAAGGTTTCTTGTAAAAGTTTCAATTTTAAGTAGGACCTACAGGAAGCTAGAGAATCCAACAGGTGGAGATGAGTAGAAAGAACATTCCACATTTGCAGGACTATCAGAGAAAATGCCTAGAGCCAAGAAATGGAGTGTGTTGTTTGAGGAACAGCAAGGAGGCCAATGTCACTGGATTTCAGAGTATTTATGTGGGAGGGACATTCAAGGGTTATCTGAGATGTAAGATGACTAGAAAAGTAGAGGGACAATTTGCCAAAGGCTTTGTATTCTAAACAGAGGATTGTACTCAACTTTATACTCAATTCTGAAGGTGATAATGAATCACTGGAGTTTCCTAAGGGTTGGCAATATCACACCTACATTTAAGGAAGACCACTTTGCCAGCTGAGTAGAGGATGAGTAGAAAATATTGTGTCAGGAAGACTTATCCAGTAGACTATAGCAATTGTCCTGGTGTGAAGTGATGAGGTCCTGCACTAGGGTGCTTGTGTCATGTCATTTACTATGAAATTTTAGAGCTTTCTCCCTTTTTTCAAATCCCCCCACACCCTTACTGCTTCTAAAGAAAGAAGAAAAACCTAATTATAGGGGAATTAGACTTAGTGATTACTGCTTCTATGACTGCCAATCTTAATGAATTGTATTTCTGGTGTTTTCATAAAGTTAACAGTTGTCATCTTGTCAGTTGATAAAGAAAATCCCTATACCTTCAATATCCTCAGTATTATTATGCATCAGTATTTCTTCCATCCAAATAAGAAAACTTAAGGAACTAGAGAGACCTGGGGAAAGTTGAGAGACATGCAACACATGAGAAAGGCAAATAACAATTCTGACCAATCATTAGAAGCTTATTAAGAGTCTAGTCTGTGCTCAGCACAAGAAGAAATGTGCCTGATCTGGCAAAATGGCCAATATTCCTTGACCATCATGGAGACAATATATATGAATTAATTATTTTTTTAAAAGGAGAGAGATTAAGTATCAATTTAAATGTAACTATTTAAACAAAATGATTGTCCTAAAAGCAATAAGATTTTCTTTTTTTTTTTTTTTGCTGATTTTCTGGATTCACTGGACCCTATTGTCTTCCTTCTATAGTCTTTCTTTTGGTAATAATCCTATGGGTTCAATGTTCTGAATGCATTTGACTCCCAAATCTACAATCCACCTATGATGACTCTCCTGAGTTCCAGCCCTACATTTTTTTTTGGCTAGGCAATGGGGTTAAGTGACTTGCCCAGGGTCACACAGCTAGTAAGTATTATGTGTCTGAGGCCGAATTTGAACTCGGGTCTTCCTGAATCCAGGGCCGGTGCTCTATCCACTGTGCCACCTGGCTGCCCAGCCCTACATTTTTAAGTGACTGTTTAATGTCTTCCATCTGTAGTTTTGGCAGAATATGAAGGACATCCTAAAAACCTTTTACTCTATTGTGGATGGAAAAGAAGGATCAAAGAATGAATTATAGCATTTCTCACAACAGATTTGACAATGATAACACATGATTTCAGAAAAGCAGAAGTAATCAACCCTTAACTTTCCTTCAGTTTTCTCTACCAACAAGAATGAGATTTGGACTGGAAAGGACAGCATGAAAAATGGTTAACAGGGAGTGAAAATTGAAGATAAGGAAATAATAAGAAACCATCTAAATGCAAATGATCAATTCAAGTCACCTGGCCTTTGTGAACGGAATCTCATGCTATTGAAAGAATTGACAATTTTTATTATGGAGGTACTGGCAGTAATTTTTGGAAGATCATAAAGAATGAAAGATATATCACAGAATTGTAGAGTATTGCCCTTATTTTTAAAACATGGCAATAGAACGAAGTCTTCAAAACATAAGCTGGTGAACATGACTTCAATGCCTGATAAGAATTTAGAGCATATTATTAAGAAAATGCTTAGTCTGTATCTAGAAATGAAAGTGGCAATTACTTAGATCCATAATGATTTACAGACTAATTCATATCCATTTTTGATAGGGTTATTAGACTTTAAGATAGGATAATTGGATAGACATAGTTTGGCTAGATTACTGTAAAGCATTTGACAAAGTTTCTCATGCTATCCCAACTGACAAGATGGAATAATGTGGGCAAGTTAATAGTATAGTTGGGTGAATTCAGAATTGGCTACATGACTAGATGTTAACAATAGTCATTAATGGTTTGGTGTCATTTTGGACTTATGTCTCTGGTGGGGAGCTTCAGGGACCTATTCTTGGTTCTAACATTTTCATCAGCGACTAAAATGACATACTTATCAGATTTTCAGAAGACATAAATCTGAATGAATAGCTAATGCACTGTATGAGAATGTGTAGATCCAAGCAGATATCTACAGGATAGGAAAATAGAGTGAATTAGTTAGATGACATTTAATAGAGGTTATTGAACAGCTCTACATTTGGATTTTTAAAATTGGCTTTACAAAAATAGGACATCAACAGAAACAGTTTTCATGAACAAGATATCTGGCAATTCTGGTCAACTTCAAAGAGATGAGTCAACAATGCAGTATGAGAGTGAATAAAGTTAATTAAATTGTAGGCTGCATTCAGAAAATTAGTGTCAATAACACTGAAGGTCCATACTTTCCTCTTTGGTTAGAGAACATCTGAAATATGGTCTTCAGCTCCCAAGGCCATATTTTAGGAAGCATACTAATAAACCAGAAAGCATCCAGAGGAAGGTAACCACCATTGTTAATGGGCTGTAAACTGCAATTGAAGGATTGTTTTCATGAACTAAAAAGAGAAGAGAAAACTTAAGGAAAAACATGAAATCTATCTTTAAGCATCTGAAGGACTGCCATGGTGAAAAGGGATAAGATTTCTTGGCCTCATAGGCAGTTCCAGAAATAGAAGCAATAGGTGGAAACTACTGAGAGGAATGTTTATACTTTTTGTAAGGAAAATCTTCCTAAAAATTCCAGCTACACAGAAATGGAATAGACTGTCTGGGGAGGTAGTGGGTTTCCCTTCACTCAAGATACAAAAGTAAAGGGTGGGTGGCCACCTTTCTTGATGTTGTTGTAGAAAGGATTATTGGTGAGATTCAGGTGAGAACTGAAGTCGTACTCCAGGAACAGGAAAAGATAGAATGATTTTATTGTGAAACATTTTCAACAATAAAATATTTTTAAAACAGCAAGATTTTTCTGAATAGTATTTGTTAAAGGGATTGCCAAAAAGGCAATGTCCTCCAGATGCTTCTGTTTTCTGAAGACATCCTGCTGATTGATTCTGAAGCCCCAGAAAGAATACAGGACCCTCAACACCATCTACAGCCACCCTAAAGATATTAGCCTAACAGTCCACAAAGGAAAAATGAAACAATCAAAGCCATCCTAGACAGGCAGTTTAACTAAGAGCCTTCTGTATTAATCAGTTTTGTGAGAACTATAGATGGACAATGAGCTGAGATTATGAGTTGAGACCAGGATTAAATAGAAATAATAGAATAGAAAGATGAGATGAGTTGTATTTGTGAAATTGCATGATTCCAAACTGCTCCCCAACACAAAAACCCATTCTTTTAACACCAACATATGACAAGTGATGCTGTAAATCAGTAAACACTACAATCTCTGAAAAATAAAAATTGCCCATTTCCCAAAGAGCAATAGCAAGATGTACAATGGACATCAACAGGTTACATATTCCTTCCGTGCAAATTAAGTGTTGATACAGGTATCCACCAGAAAATATATTAGTGGAAAAACTGACTGGCAATTCAAGTCAACACGTATTTAGTAAGTGCTTGCTATATGCCAAACATTGTGCTAAGCGCTTAGACTACAAATACAAGAAGACAGTCCCTGCTCTCAAGGCACTTACATCCTAATAGGGGAAGACAACACATAAAAGGAAGCTGAAAAGCCTTTGGGGTTGAGTGGGGAAAGGAGTTAAAGTACTCCAGACCAAGGCAGAAATATATTTATATGTTAAGGCTGAGAGATAATTGGTAGAGAACCCAAATTCTATACTGGTACTCACAAAATGTAAAGACTTAGATAAATGACTTCCGCATGTTGAGTATAGATTCTCCTTGGAGGATTTGTGGGAGGATATAAATAAGCAATGCAAAGTATGAGGTACGGATGGATTGTAAAATATAGCACTGAAGGGAATACACAGATTGATGTAATCATGTTGTCGAAGGGTAGTTCCTAGAGGAAGGTGCAAAATTTTTAAAACCATAGTTTATAGAAGGGGAATTTTTACTTCTGGTATGCATCAATACATCTTTTCATGGAAAAACGAAGTCAGCACTTCAAAGCACTAAAACTTTCCCCAACAGCAGAACTTGAGTATTGCTCATTGTCATTCAAATATCACTTACATCTTTAAGAAATCCCCACGTCACAAAGGGAAATTTAATGTAACATTAGGTGTTTGTGAAATGGAGAATGAAACTTGGGGGGGGGAGATAGAAAATATTTGTGGGAATTTTTCAAACTTTTTAAAAATTGCTAATTAAGACTATCTCAGATGTAGGAATCAAAAATTACCTTCCCAGGTTCTGAAACCATCTCCTGCTGCTGACCTCTGTCCCCCAAACAAGGAGGGAAGTTGGGGCTGAAGGCCATTAGGTCCCTCTTAGTGGCCCCTTCTCCAGAGCAAATCTTCGGCTGCCGCTGCTGAGAATAAGATAAGCTCCCCACGTTGCTGGAACACACTACTGTAGGCTTTCTTGGACAGTAGAGGCTCTCCAGAGGCGCAGTGCACCGCATTGCTGCATAGAACAGCAAACTCAGCACCAGCAAACTGGAAACCGAGCAGATAGCTACGATCAGATACACGTTAATATCCACCAGCGGTGCCTCTTCCCTAAGCCCCTCTTTCACTTTTGCATGGCCTGCACTAAACGTCTTCAGGGTTTGTCCGCTTGCCACCAGGGATACCATCATAGTAGCTGTGGCAGACAGCACGGGGTCCCCGTGATCCTTCACTAACACCAGCAGCGTCTGTTTCGGCCCATCAAACTCCTCCAAGGACCGAGTCGTGCTTATTTCGCCAGTGTACAGACCCACGCGAAAAGGACTGCGCCCAACGCCCACCTCCGACAGGAGCTCGTAGGACAACCACGCGTTGTAGCCAGAATCTGCATCCACAGCCCGAATCTTCGCCACCACATGGCCTGCAGCCACCGACTGCGACACCAGTTCAGTCACTGGGCTAACGCCAGCGTGAGGTGGCAGCACTACAGGCGGATTGTCGTTCTCGTCCAGCACGAACACCTGCAGGCTCACGTTACTGCTCAGAGGAGGGAAGCCTGCGTCGCGGGCGCTCACTTGGAACTGCAGCAGCTCCAGCTCCTCATGATCCAGGGGCTGCAAGGCGTACACTTTCCCGCTCTCTGAGTGCACAGACACGTAGCTCGACAGCGGACGCTCGCCTACCCTGCGTTCTACTAGAGAGTAAGACACCAGCGCGTTCTCCTGCGCATCCGGATCGGAGGCCGACACAGTGAAGATGTAACAGCCGGGGGAGTTGTTCTCCTTCACGAACACAGTATACACAGGCCGCTCGAAAGTAGGTGCGTTGTCGTTCACATCACCGATGTCCACTGACACGCTGGCCGTGGCCCACAGAACTGGCGTCCCGCCATCCCTGGCTGTCACCACCAGCTTATAGGCAGGCACAGTCTCGCGGTCCACCTGACTCTCCAGGACCAGCGAGTAGTAATTCCTGAAAGTGGACACCAGCGTGAAGGGCCCAGGAGGCGACAGTGAGCAAGTCACCTGCCCATTGGCGCCAGAGTCTCTGTCGGACACACTAATGAGGGCGATAACAGTGCCTGGAGGAGCATCTTCTCTGACAGGAAGTGATAGTGATGTCACCGCAACTTCAGGGGCATTATCGTTGATATCCATAATTTCGACCAGGACTGTACAATGACCAACCATGCGAGGAGTCCCCTTATCAGTCGCTTCTACCTGGAATTCAAATAATTTTGTTTCTTCGAAATCTATATTTCCCTTTATCTTGACCTCACCATTGACTTGGTCTATGTGGAACTTGTTCTGTACTTTAGGGGAAACATCACTAGTGAAAGAATAAATAATTTCCCCGTTTAATCCTTCATCCAAATCCGAAGCATTCATTTTCATCACTAATGTCTCATTCGGTAAATTTTCGAATATTCTCACCTTATAAACTGTCCTCTCAAACTCTGGGGTATTGTCATTCACATCCAGCACTGTGATCAGCAATTGAATGGTACCAGTGAGCTCAGGTTTTCCTCCGTCAGTGGCAGTCAGTAATAAATGATGTTCAGTGGTTTCCTCTCTATCTAGAGCTTTCTTCAAAACAAGCTTAAGGGAATTCATTTTCTCATCCTTTTTCTTTACATCCAAAGCGAAATATTCATTAGGACTGAGGCTATAGGTCAGCAAAGCATTCTCTCCAATGTCCGCATCCAATGCGCCCTCTAGTGGGAACCTAGATTCTAATGGGCTGGATTCAGAAATAAACAGATTCTTTTGTCTTAAGGAAAACACAGGAGGGTTGTCATTAATGTCTTTGATCTCCACCTCTACATGGAAAACCTGCAGCGGTTTCTCCACAATCACCTCCAGGTGGATGCTACAAACAGGGCTGCGGACGCACAGCTCCTCCCGGTCGATCCGAGAATTCACAAACAAAATGCCGTTCTGCACATTTACCTCCAGGTAGTCCCGGCGACCCTTGGACACCACCCGGAACAGCCTCGACACCAGCTCCCCGACCTCCAGACCCAGGTCCTGCGCGATTCGCCCCACAAACGTACCGTGTTTCGCTTCCTCCAGCACGGAGTAATGGACCTGGCCGCTCCCCACCTCCCAGGCTGTGTGGAGAATAAAAGAGAGGAGCAGCTGCCGGGAACCCAGGAGGCCTCTAGACCTAGCAACCATCTCAAATCCTTTTTTCTGCCCTTGGACCAACGGCCTGTCTCCCACAGATGCTTACGATTACTTACGATTCCTTAAATCTAAATCTGACAGTCCCTGGTTTTCAGCTTTTCTGAGGTGGCGAGAAAAAGGAGTGGCTGTCTTCCCAGTCAGAAAAATCAGTGTTTTCCTGTGTCTAGAAAGATTCTTGGTGTACAGCGACACTTTGTGGATTAGTATGTAAGTGAGATCTAATTCTTTATTTTCATTCTCCTCTATAAGTAAAAAAAAATTAACATCTTACTAAAAACAACATTGAAAAGTAATGCAACCAGCCATTTTTACCTAGGAAATTAACTTCAAGGAAAAAAAATCCATTTCAATTTTTCAATCTTTCCCTCTAGATTTTCATCAACATTCCTTGTTCATTCATTCCTCTAATATAGTCACAGTTAATGTATACTTCACTCTACCAGTTACTTTCTAGTTTTCCAATTGTCTTTCCCTGTAATGTGTTGAATTATCTTATGTAGCCCTGGTAAAGCTTTCTCAAAGTTACTGAAGCCCATATTACGCCAATATATTCTGGGAAAAGCTACATATTTATTTACTGAGTAAATATTCAGTTGTATTTATTAGCTAGCTATTGTAACCTCTAATTAAGGTGTCAAAAAAATTTCTTCATTTTCAAGACAATAGATTTTTTTTGAGGCCAGGGTTCCTCTGAGATAGTGTTTGTTACATTTTTTTTAAAGGGCCAATATTGAGATCACAGGATTTAGCACTGGACAGTACTACTTAGCTTAGCCTCATCCCTTACCTTACAGGTTCTGAAGTGCCAAAGAAGCTAAGACTTCCCATTATCACAAAGACAATAAATGGAAGAGCAAGGATTTGAATTCAAATTCAGGGCACTTCTCACTATATCACTACAAGAGGTGGCAGTAGGACTAGAAAGAAAGAGACTGTTATAAAAGATGTTGGGGATGAATTATCAACAGAATTCAGTAACTAATGAGATATGAGAGATAATTTAGAGGGAAGAATAAGAAATAACTCCATGGATTTGAGGCTAAGTGAATGATGATGTTTCAAAAAGATAATCTGGAAGAGAAAGTAGTGAGGATGGAAGTCAAAAATTAAACATTCAGTCTGGGACACATTAAGTTCAAAGTTGCAGGTGAAATATCCAGGTGGAGATGTCATGTCATATAAGGAAATAAAATTCTGAAGCTCAGAAGAGAGATCAAGGCTGAAAAAACAGATCTGAGAATCATCTGCATGGTGATGAGATGACCAGTGAGAAAGTAGAAACAGGAAAGAGAAAAGAGGATGTCCAAAGACAGATTCTTGGAAAATGCCCATGCTATAGGGACAGGAAAATAATTGGTTTCCAATGGACAAAAAGAGAAAAAAGAAAACAATTGTTTTTCTCATTATCTTTTCTTAGAGAAAATGTGGTTCATAAAGAAAAAGAACTTAAGAATGGTGCCTCTTCAAGTATGTTGGAGGGTGGGGGAAGTTGATACTTGACCAGTTGAAACCTCCCTATGTACAAACTGATGAAATCTCATTAAGGGGGCTGGTACCAGAGAGCTGAGGTGCTAATATTTAAATCAAGTGAAAAGACAGGTCCTATCCTTTTATGAAGCATGGAGAAGTTTCTCTGAAGGAATTTGAGAGGAAGCTTGTTACTGAGTGGCATAAGATTGTCCATGCCTTTTAAAATCTAAGTTTGTCAACACTAGTAAGATTCAATGCAGATAGTAAGAGGGAGGGGATTTCTCTGTCATCATTAGCCATGGTATCTTGCAACAGAGTTACTCACCCAGTAAGAAAAACAGCATTTAGCAAAGATTAGTAATGTAGGGGAAGTAGGAAACAGATTCAAAGAATAGGCTTCGTGGCAACAAGGAAGAAGAGAATCAATCATGGATGCAAGGAACAATTAGTATTGTCAGTTGAACTTCCAAGAAGAATCAAGTGAATCAAGCTGAATAATCCACACAGTAGAGATCCTTTGGGGTGGGAGAATGGGAGGAAGCTGAGCATATTACTAGAAGAGAAATGACATCAAGATCCAGCAGAATGATAATTAGGAATTACTTTGGATGCATGGGTTTCCTATATGTGTGCCCCACTAAAAAAAAATGTACTCCACTATTTCTACACATATTGTCTATATTTGTGGTAGAGTGTGTCTCACGTTGGGGGAGAGGAGTGATGTGTAGTTTCTGTTCCTATGCTGACACCTTGGTAAATGCCTTATTTTGAGCCAATTGTACCTACTGGCTGGCTATTAAAGGTGATTGCACCAGAGAAGGCTCATAAACTATTGTTTTAAGAGTATGGAGCCACAGGGTACCTTTGACCCCGAGGTAACTGTCACCCGTCAAGGAGGTCCAATCTGTGAATGAGAGTTAAGGGAATGGGACAGTGTAGGCCCCAGAGGGAGTGCTACAAAAGTAATTAAAACTTTTAAAAAATACATAAAAGGATTATGTACTTGACTTCCACTTGTCTTTTCAATTTTGCTCTTCAACAAAGCTCCATTTATCACTAATAAGCAACTTATTTCATTAATCTGAAATTTACCTTTTAGATATTTGTGTGGATGTGCATTTTTGTTATTTTCTATCATTTAATATAAAATATCTTATAAAAAATATTTCAGATTGATGATCCAGAGGTTAAGGATAACAAATGTTTAAACTTACAACCCTTTTGAAACGTCTAGGAATAGGCAGAATTTCCTACTTACAAAACTGAGAGAAAGACATGAAGGGTAGTTTGCATTCAAATATAAAAGAATCCTTTGGTTCATAGAATATCCCAAATTATAGATATATGTACATGACTTAGAAACCTATAAGACTCTCTTTTCATTAGCTGTTAGAACCATTAGAAACTAAGGAAGTTTCTTTGACACATCAACCATATGGTCACAGGAATCCATATAAAAAGATAAAGAATATCCTCAAAAGTTTTGTCATGTAATTTCAGCCTTTTGTTACACTGATTCCAAGACTAAAGTGAAAGATAACTTCTGCATAAGCCCACAAACTTTTGTCATTCAGAACACATGGGAAGAATCAACATTTACTCTTCAATACTTCAAGAATCTTTGACTTTATCTGTGTGGATATTTCCTCCACCTATGCAGGTCATAGCCCCTCATTCCTAATAGATGGTTTTATGAGCAGCTTAGACTCCTTTCAAAGTTATCACTTAGTGGCAAAACCTCTAGTGATAATTTTCTTCAGGTTTAGATAGGCTTGCCCATTCTTGAAAAAAAAAAACAGAAAATCCATCTATTGGCCTATACTTGAGACTTTTCCTGCTTGGGATGACCTCTTAGAACTTTCATCCTACTCAACTGGTCCTTGGGAAGTCAGTTCATTTCAAAAAATAACTAGAATTACAGAAAGTGACAAACATACATGGGCACCGCACAAGATCCCAAAGGGTTGGGCTAAATCTTGAAATATAATTAGAAAACAATGCAAGCCAGTATGGTGTAATATGCTAAACTAAGTAAAACCAAATGAAAAGAAAATGTTACTACGTACTGTGTTATGGATGATCATGAAGGGGGAAGAGATAAATATGGCTGACATCACCAAGGAAAACTCAATAGAAATAAGATTGTAGATATATCTTGAAGAGTTGGTAAAAGTTGGATTGGAATAGAGTAGGAAAGAGAACTCCAGGAAAGAGAAAGTATGTTTTCTTTTCACTGCTGGAGGAAATGAATATGAACCTTCAAAAGGACAGTGAGGATCCTAAGATTCTTAGAACAGTGTCAAATTACTGAGGGGTGTTTTTGCTTAATAATTTATTTTCCTTTGTTACAAAGGAAATTGAGGAGGAAGGAGTATATTCAGAAGTGATGGTTATGTAAACACTAAATACACGAGTAAACCTTTTTTCAAAAGTTGAATGATTAATGTTATCAGAAGTTGTCAGGAGGTTAACAAGAATAAGGACAAGGGAACCATTCGTATACATATTGATACTCAAAGGTGATGATAAAGAACTGTGATATACAAAAGATAAGCCTGTTTTTTGGTTGTTGTTGTTCCATAAAAGTAATAAACAAGGTATGTTTTAATTGCATGAAGATGTGGAATTTGAGACTTATATTGTTCATGGACTTATATGTGATGAACTACATGGAATAATCTGTTGCTTGTCAAAACATTTATAGATACATATGTCACAGCAGTATTGAGAATGAACACTAAGTCATAAATCTCTCATGAAAATATTTAGCACGTATATTTATAGAAATAAAGATCCTTCAATTCATTGAAGTAAGAGCCGACATATGTTACAAAATGCATCATCCTGGAGTGGAAATTGTTTTAGTATTCTGCTGTTAGAGGTGTTTTTAAAATGTTATTTTTCTCAATTACACATAAAACAATTTTAACATTCTTTTTAAAATTTTGAGTTCCAAGTTTTCTCCCTCCCTCCTTCCTCTCTCCCTGCCTTGAGAAGAATTTGATATAGACTATTCATGTGAAGTCATACAAAATATATTTCCATATTAGCCATGTCACCAACTTCCTCTTAAAAGGAACAAAAATTCCTTTAAAAAAATTCAACTATAAACTATTGCTAAAGTTTTCTTCCAGTTGTAGTAATGATGATTTTAAGATGTTTGAATAAGCGGTTCAAAAGACATGGAATTCTACATTTATTTAAATAATAACAGTTAACATATATGTGCCAGGTACTGTGCTAAGCAAAATAGCCCTGGAAAGATGGTGCTACTATTATCTTCATTTTACAGGTGAGGGAACTGAGGCAAACAGCAGGAATTTTTGCCCAGAGTAACATAGCTAGTAAGTGTCTGAGCCTGGATTTGAACTCAAGTCTTCCTAATTCCAGGCCCTGCCCTCCGTCCACTGTGACACCTAGCTACCCTAAATAAAATAAAAATAAAAGCTAGCTATGATATATTAGGATGATATTAGTAGGGGGAAAAGTATGTAATAGTGAATTAACTAAATGAACAAGAATCACACATTTTCAAAATATTAAGAGAATTATAGCTCTCCACAAAATGCAATTCCATCATAGAGAGCTACATGGAAAAAAAAATTGACAGGGTAGAGTTGACATTTTGCGCACTAGCAGAAAATAGACAACACGGATTTGCAAAGGAATTTTTCAATAACAAAACTCTCTATATAAAAAGATTATTTATTCTGCTTCCACTACTGATATAGATCAAACATGTGAGATCAACTTGCCATTCCTTTGAAAAGTTCCTTTTTTTAGCAACTGTAGAGCTTTCAAATTTAAATTTTGTTCTTAAAAAGACATCAATTTCAAATTTTGTTCTTTTCTTGATAGTATAGAGTACCACTCTGGCTATTGTACCTCAAAAAACATATAACTGAATTTTTCAAGGTATCACAATAACAGCAGAGAAAAATGACCAGTAACATCTACCTTATTCATCAATCAGTATATAATTTCTTACGTGTCATGTTCAAAAATAAATCAATGAAAGATAATACATAAGAGATCATTGAATAAGGGCTTTAGAGATGGATTAGTAACCTTTGCAAAGCTATTTTCTTCCAACAAAATGATCTCCCATGACACATTCAGAGAGATATCTCCTAGGCTTGGTGGGTGGCAAGTTGGGCTTAGTAATGTGTCTGAAGTACTTACCTCTTTTATGTTCCTACTAAGGCAAACAGATAGTTTTAGTTATTCCTTCGGGCAGTTGCTACAACTACAGACCTGTACATACAAACTAAGGACAGTAACAACTCCTTTTCATGGACATACTCATATCTTGATCCTATTCTCTTGGGTTAAGAAAAATCTGATGCTATACTTATGAGATCAGTGGCTAGAGAGAGAGAGAGAATATCAATCTGTAACTACACAGGATCCTACACTCCCTCTTCTCCCTATGCAAAACATGGATTAGGGCCCAGATTTTGTAAAATACTGTGTCTATAGGAAAGAAAAAACTTTTGTTAAGAACTATAAACACTTATGCAATCACATGTGTATTGCATTGATATGATTTCAAGCATTAAACCTGTGTCTACAGTATTCTAAAAACTTTGAATCTGTTGGATAATTAAATCATGTTTTCTTTCATCCTGCTATTTAGTATCCTATAAACGGAGACTAGGCCTTTCCCATTCTAGAATGTTCATAAAGTTCTTAAATGTAACACACATCACAGTAAAGCCTTTTCATTTTTCTGTGTTGAGGCAAAATAGAAAGAAAGACACTGTAGCTGGAGTTAGATAACTTAGGTTCAGTTCATGGCATAGTACTTATTATCTTGGAGACCTTAAGCAAATCACAACCTCTCTAGACCTCATTGTCCTCCCAGTTCAAAATAAGTGGGTGGGACTAGCTCAAAAATCCCCTCCAGACCTAAATGTGTGCACTTTAAATTTCAATTAAGGAAGCCAGATTAGGAAACATTAAGACAAGTGAGTTTCCATATTTAAAAAAAAACCTTTGGAAAAATATTTTCTAAATGTAATAAATCTTCTAATGAAAACAAAGCAAGTATTTTCTTGATTGTTTCCTATTAGCACTATAGTCTTTAGTATTACACCAAGAATAACTATGACAAAGTTATTAAATCTTTTATGAGAAAAGATTTAATATCAATACTAGGATGTGAGCTTTTAGAACTTATGAGACCTTTATTTGACCAGAAGCTCTTGGTCTTAACATAGGTGAATTAATCCCAGAAAACTCTGAGGACTGAAGGAATAGGAAAATTTGCAATATCCCTGTCCTTACCCTCCCCAAAAATCAAGAAAAAACAAACACAAAAGACATCCTTACAGACAGATGTAGAAACAAAAAGAAATATGGAATTTTGTATTAATTTACCACATCACAAATGTTACCTGGGCCATTGATTTCCTCCTCAAATTTTTCTTATTGAAAATGAATACATTTCACATAAAATAGTATGACAATTTGCATACAAGGCCAATTTTAAAGAATTTTCAAATGGACTAGTTCAAGGTACAGCAATTCAAAAGCAACAGAATTTTGAAAGTGAGCTATTTTTAAAAAACAATTTTAAACATAACTCTTCAAGGGAGCCACGTATTTGTAAGTTTTGACTTAAAATTTCAATCACTACGTTTTCACTAAACTCGACTGAAAATGAACTTCATTCACCCCTATACAATCACTTTATAGATGGGAACTCAAGGCATATCATAAACTCAGGGCACACTATTGGAAGGAAAGGTAGAAAAAACAGTCCTAATAGTCTTCCAGAAATGAAATACAACAACAATAATTCTTTTCTTAATTCTCTTAAAGGTATAAATGATAGGAAAAGGAGAACATTTAGTTCTTCTAGATTTACTTTCCAAACCTACTGAGTGAGGAAGTTGTATGTGATACTTCTATAGCAACACTCCCAATAACCAAAACAAACAAGGAACAATAGTTTCCAAACTCATCTTACTGGAAGGCGCTAAACTAACCCGCTGTTGCTCAGCTTTCCCTTCGGAACCAGGACATGGAGGTAGGTTGGGGCTGAAAGCCATGAGGTCATTCCTGGCCACCCCATCCCCAGAGCACACCTTCTGTCGCTGTTGCTGAGAATATGACCAGCTTCCAACCGCGCTAGAGCACGCTAGAGTGGGCTTCTGAGACCCATATGCCCACTGATGGGGCGCGGAACAACGTAGAGCCACATACAGCAGGAGACTCAGCACCAGTAGGCTTGACACTGAGCAGATGGCAATGATCAAATAAACGTTCACATCCACCAGAGTAGCATTCCCAACGCCCGCCCCAGTTCGGGCTACATTATATAATCCTTTCAGCATCTGTCCGCTTTCTACTAAAGATACCGTCACCGTGGCAGTGGCTGATAGAGGGGGATCTCCGTGGTCCTTCACCAGCACCAAGAGCACTTGCTTCAGTCCATCTGACTCTTCCAAGGTCCTGGTAGTGCTGATCTCGCCAGTGTACAAACCCACGCGAAAAGGGTTACGCCCAACTCCCATCTCTGGCAGCAGCTCATAAGACAGCCACGCGTTGTAACCAGAATCTGCATCCACCGCCCGGATCTTCGCCACCACATGGCCCACAGCCACCGACTGTGGATCAAGCTCAGTCACTGGACCGCCACTGGAGTGGGCCCCAATCTGAGGCAACAGCACTGACGGTGGGTTGTCGTTCTCATCCAGCACGAACACCTGCAGGCTCACGTTGCTGCTCAGGGGAGGGAATCCCGCATCGCGGGCGCTCACTTGGAACTGCAGCAGCTCCAGCTCCTCGTGGTCCAGGGGCTGTAAAGCGTACAGTTTGCCGCTCTCTGAGTGCACAGACACGTAGCTCGACAGTGGACGCTCGCCTACCCTGCGTTCTACTAGAGAGTAAGACACCAGCGCGTTCTCCTGCGCATCCGGATCGGAGGCCGACACAGTGAAGATGTGACAGCCGGGAGGGTTGTTCTCCTTCACGAACACAGTATACACAGGCCTCTCGAAAGTAGGTGCATTGTCGTTCACATCACCGATGTCTACTGACACGCTGGCCGTGGTCCACAGAGCCGGAGTCCCGCCATCTCTGGCTGTCACCACCAACTCAAAGGCTGACACTCTTTCACGGTCCACTGGATCCTCTAGGACCAGCGAGTAGTAATTTCTGAAAGTGGACACCAGCGTGAAGGGACCAGGAGGTGACAGCGAGCAAGTCACCTGCCCGTTAGCGCCGGAGTCACGGTCAGACACACTGATGAGGGCGATGACTGTGCCTGGAGGGGCATCCTCTCTAACAGGCAACGATAGTGAGGTCACTACCACCTCTGGTGCATTATCATTAATGTCTAACACTTTTACCAAAACTTTGCAGTGTCCAGATAATGGTGGAGTTCCTTTATCTATAGCTATTACATTAATTTCATATAATTTCATTTCTTCGTGATCTAGTTGGCCCATTATTCTAATTTCCCCTGTGATAGGATCTAATTCAAATTTTGCGGATACACTAGAGAGAGTGTCACTACTGAATGAGTACATAATTTCACCATTTATTCCTTCATCGATATCCGAGGCATTGAATCGGACCGCTAATGTACCATTTACAGTATTTTCTAGTAATTGGACTTTGTAGACTTCTTGATCAAACTTTGGAGCATTATCATTAACATCGAGTACCTCTATCAATAATTCTACTGTTCCCGTGAGCTCGGGCTTTCCCCCATCCGTAGCAGTTAGTAATAAAGGAAGCTCGGAGGTTTTCTCTCTGTCCAAAGATTTCTTAAGGACAAGAGACAGAGACTTACTCAATTCATCATTCGTCTTTACATCCAAAGAGAAATATTCGTTGGTGCTGAGCCTATAGGTCAGCAAAGCATTTGCTTCCACGTCATCATCGGATGCTCCCTCTAGTGGAAACCTAGAATCTAGTGGGCTAGATTCATAAATACACAGATTCTTTTGTGTTCTGGAAAACACTGGCGGGTTGTCATTAACGTCCTTGACCTCCACCTCTACATGGAAAACCTGCAGCGGCTTCTCCATAATAACCTCCAGGTGGATGCTACAAACAGGACTGCGGTCGCACAGTTCCTCCCGGTCTATCCGCGAATTCACAAACAAAATGCCGTTCTGCACATTTACCTCCAGATAGTCCCGGCGACCCTTGGACACCACCCGGAACAGCCTTGTCACCAGTTCCCCGACCTCCAGACCCAAGTCCTGCGCGATTCGCCCCACAAACGTACCGTGTTTCGCTTCCTCCAGCACGGAGTAATGGACCTGGCCGCTCCCCATCTTCCAGGCTGTGTGAAGCAGAAGTGAGAACAGCAGATGCTGGGCTCTCAGGCGGCTGGTCTTCCAGTCTATCATCGCAAATCCTTTTCAGATGCCTTAATCATTTATCTGTTACTCCAAAAATTCCAGGAATAAAGCGAATGACTGTTCCCAAAGACCTTAAATTCAATAGCTCTGCTGTCAGGAAAGAAAACAATTGAAGGGTGTGGACGGCTTGTTTTTTCCCTTTTAAATAGGAAGATTGCTCTCCCTCCTTTGTTAGAAAATCGCTTTTGGTAGACAGCGACACCATGTGGTCAGTTGGCTTTAACAATTTATTTGAATTATATATCCTTCATCTACTCCTGCAGTATTTCCAATTTCCATTTTTCTAGGTTGGAGACTCTTGAACAGTGTATTTTATGAAAAATTTTTGTCTTTGCAAAAATACAACATATCTGATTTACGAGTATGCTTAAATGCATTTCCCAAAACTGGTCCTTTAAAATCTGCCTGAATCGGCCCCCCTACCCCTCAACCCCTGCCCTACCTCATCATGGGCAGACTTGGAAATTGGAGTACTTCTTGCATCAAAATGTAAGGTAAGACCATATGTAATGTGAATGGTGGGTCTGAACCTCAGAAACAGACCCAGGAATGTTTCATTCCAGTATGGAAAAAAAAATCATTCTTGGTCTGCACACCTGCCTGAGATTTGGTTTTGTGAGTCTGGTTTTGATGATATGCTGAAAAAAAGATATATTTTGGAGATCATTTTCCACACTTCCTCTGCTCTTGAATACTTCATACAGAGTCTTGAGAAAGATTTAGACTTATGCTACTTTTTATTTCTGTGGATATTCAGATATAGTTTCCACTTTCTTTTCTCCTTATCCTTAGGAAGAAAAGAAAATCTAGAAAGTCCTGTTAAAATCAGTTGTATGTATGAGGAACAGAATGTTTCAGAAATTTGCTTTCTCTGGTCCCAATTAACAAATGCTCTTCTCAACTTCAGTCTCATTCAATTTCAACTGGCATATTCATTCTATGAAAAAGAAAATTCTCATTTTCCCATCTATCAACATGATTAGTAAATGCTATTATAAAAAGCATATCAACATCAATTTTATGCATTAAAAGAAATATATCCTAAAATTTCTGTTTCAAGTAACCAATATACAAAGCCCACAATTCCTTTGATTATAAATAGTGTGAAGAATATGTAAATCCAAAATCCAAACTCACTATGTTTTCCATTTCAACAACTATTTGTGGAACAGTTACTTTGTTGAGAACTACACTAGGGGCTGTTGTGGAAATCAAGATGTATAGGCTGTATCTAGTCCCTGATTTCAAGGTGAATGTAAACTTTTTGGATAGATCCAACAGAATTTATATAGATTATAATTACATATATTGCATCATGCAATCCTAAGTATACATGAAATTCTATGAGAATAATAGCAGCCAAAATACCATAAAATGTTAAACAGAATATTATGGAGAGTCAATGTATGGAGCAGGCTATGGCAGGGCAGTCAAGAAGGGGAGAGACCAGTGTTGGCTGGAATTATCAAAAAAGTAGCAATGAAGTTTTTGTTAGATCTTGAAGAATTGGTGGACAAAGAAAAGGGGATTCTATACAGGTGGAAAACAATAAGACATAAAAATGAGGGAACAGGGTAGCTAGGTGTCGAAGCGGATACAGCACCGGCCCTGTTGTCAGGAGGATCTGAGTTCAAGTCTAGCCTCAGACCAAACACTTGACACTTACTAGCTGTGTGACCCTGGGCAAGTCACTTAACTCCAATTGCCTAAAAAAATTGAGGGAACTACTTTGCCCATGCAAAGGGACAGACAGAAGGTAATGTGTCAGGGAGTTAAGCCTGCTTTTCACACTGGTGATGGCTTTCAGAAACTACTCAGTATGAGCTGAGATGTCCTATGAACTGCTAGAACATACATGATTATGAGCTAGTTGTTTCTCCAAAGGACATGTCTTGAAGGCTAGGGAATTTGGTTTTCATCTAGTGAGCAATGGAGAATAATTTTAAGTTACTGAGAAAGGAAATGATATAATGAAAAAGGAACTTCAAGAAAATTTCACATGGCTGTGAACAAGATTCACTGGAGGGATAGAAAGTTATAAGGCCCTGGATTAAAGACACTATATTAATATTAAAAAAGGGAGATAAATGGAGAATCTGAAAGATATCGAGGAATAAAATTTGATAGAAGAGTTACTGAGGAAAAAAAAGTAGTGTCATCAATAGAGGTAAATGAATTCATAATTTTGTTTATCACATAACAGACCCACAGAGATAAATGTCAAAGATGCTACAGGAGTATATGATGGTTATATATTGGCATGAAAGATAAAATTTATGTAAATGTCCAGTATAGGCATTAGGGAGAATGGTGATGTTATTAACAGAGACCAGTAAAGTGGAAATCAATGTTGCCTTATAAGGAGAGATGATTTGGAAATATTTAAGGAGATGACAGAACATCTAAATGAAAAGTACATGATGGTATGTGGTGAGAGAATGGAAAGTTAGGTAAGAAACAAAGCTGAAGGGGGTAGCTAGGTGGCGCAGTAGATAGAGCACCAGCCCTGAAGTCAGGAGGACCTGAGTTCAAATCCGGACTCAGATCAAACACTTGACACTTACTAGCTGTGTGACCCTGGGCAAGTCACTTAACCCCAATTGCCTAACAAAGAAAAAAAAGAAACAAAGCTGAAGAAAATCTAGGAGTCACAAAACCATGAAAATGGTTGAATTCACTGAGAAACTTCCAGAGATGAGAGCAAGAACAAAAATATTGAACTTGAAGGAATGTCTGCATTTGGTACGTGGGAGCTAGTGAAGAATTCAGCAGAGAGACAGAGACAGAGAGACAGACAGAGACAGAGACAGACAGACAGATGGGCAGACACAGAGAAGGAGACATAGACAGAGGGAGAATGGAGAGAGTATAGTGCCATAAAATCCAAGAGAGGAGAGTTTCCACAGGCAGGGGAGGAAAATGTCCAAAATTGCCAAATGCTTTAGAAAGATCAAAGAGAATGAGGTGAGAGGAACAATTTGTGCTGAGATATGGCAGTGGATTTTTAATTCTACCCATAATTGGGCCTATAGTAAATAAATATAATAAAGATGAGTTTGTATAATTTAAAATTTCCAAATAATTTGCAATCAAGGAATGTGCTTAATTGCAAAGAGAAGTAGATATATGCAATTTGGAACTTTTAAATTGTCTATAGTTATGAATGTAGTGGATTAAATGAAATAATTCATTACTAGGCAAACACTAACCCTGATATGGCCACATGTTAGAATAATATTAAGAATTTAAAATTTGTCATAATTCACTTTCATAAGAATATTCAACACTATGTTTGCAGCCAAGAATATCCTTTTACTTTTGAATATCTTTCTCTTCAAAGATCCAAGAACTGATCTGACCTTTTAAAGTTGAATATATGAAGAAATGGAATTTATGTTAATGTTCTGCCTTTAGAAATTTCAGCCACTTGTTCCTAGAAGAAATGAAAATTCCTAACAAAATTTTAATTATAAACTATTGTCCAGGTTTCCTTCCACATGTGTTCCATTCATGGCAACAATGTTTTGAAGACATTCAAATAAACACTTAAAAGCAGTGAAGAAGTACCACACTCATTTGAAACTAAAAATAACCAGCATAAAAAGTACAAAACTGAAAAAGGAAAAGAATACATTTCCAGAGGGTATCATGAAGAACAAGAAACAGGCTTTTCTAAAAAGTTACTAAAATAGTATCTAAAGGACTTATGGTTTCAGTGTGGTGAGATTGATCCATCAAATCAAAGACTTTGCTAAACCCTGGGCAGTTGTCTGAGACATGACATGACAGAGTATGCCATTCAAAATCAAAATGGTGTTGTTGTTCAGTCATTTCCAACTCTTCCTGACCCCATTTGGGATTTTATTGGCAAAAATACTGGAGTGGTTTGCCATTTCCATTTCCAGCTCATTTTACAGATGAGGAAACTGAGGCAAAAAGGGTTAAGTCACACAGTAAGTGTTTGAGGCTAGATTTGAGCTCAGGAAGATGAGTCTTCCTGACTTCAGGCCCAGCACTCTAGCCACTGTGCCACTTAACTGACATAAAATAAAAATAACAGTCTTTCTAATGTTCAACAGATAGTCTTCAAAAGTTGTTAGATCTGAAAAATTCATAACCCTGCAGCAAACCTGATGATGGCTTCTCCAAATCTAGCTTATGCTAATAAAGAGCAAGAGGTATTCGGATGATTACACAGCTCAAACTCCACAGTATCAGAAATATACAACATAACCCTGGAAGATCAACGAAAATTATCAAATACAGGGATTTTCATGCAATAATAAATTTAAAAGGTTAGAACTCTTTGGTGTGAAATTATAAAAATTGTACTGGGATACAAAGTCTGTGATTCAAAGTCTATGGAAGGTATAAATATAAAAAAATAATATTTGTTCACTAAAATTCCTGAATACTAGGTATTCCATGAATCTTTATAATTATAATTTAAAACAAATAAAGTAAATTTTTATTTTATACATCAAGACAACATAAGGGCCTTGTTACATTATGTAGTTGTAAAGACTACATGCTGTATTCAAGAAGAGCATTTAGAAATTCATGAATGGCACAAAAGTTTATGATAAAAGGATTTGGTGGATGAATTACTAAACTTTGAAGATAATAGCCATATTCTTCCTGTGATACATTGTTTGAGAGCACAGACAGAGGTGGAACACTATCCTGAGTGTGTCACTGATCTAACCAAATAACTTACCTTAATAATGAATATTCTCTCCAAGGAACATAAATAAATCTAGTGATTGCTACAGAAACTACCACAAACAATCACAGATCTCCGTTAACAAATGCTTGAAAGATATCTGTGCTTTGAAGTGAAATTACCTTAATCTTACTCTCAACAGTTAAGAACAATTTTATTCTTTTCTCTTCTAGTGGATTGGCCATCAGTCTCAACTAGTCACTTGCAAATGATTTAAAAAGAGGAAGCTATTATAATTACCTACAATTGTTCTCCAGTTACTGTC